ATGGCGGCTCGGGCAGAGGGAATGGTACAAAGAGAAGAAAATAGATTTTTAAGAAGGAAGGAAGGAAAAGAGGGAGGGAGGAAAGAAGGAAGGGAAGGAGGGAGAGAGGAAAGAAATAAGGAAGGAAGACCCGTCTCTAAAATTTTACACATCTCTTACATAGCCCAGATTTAATCAGGCAAAACAGCCTGAATTGATGGCTAGAAAACCTGCAACCCTGCTCACCAGCGCCCCAAGAGAAGAGGTAACTGCTCAGACAAATCTGTCCAGCAGGGTCAGGTTTTGTTTTCTTTTAACCTGTACAAAGAGAAACTGTACTGTCTTCCTAAACAGCCCAGACACGGCCTGGGGATGGCAGAGTGGGCACAGACAGACGCTGGATGACTCTCCCAAGTTCTAAGCTCTTTGGCTCCCTCAAAAGTGCTGTACCAGCTGAATTCAAAGTTTGGGGTTCTTGCTACTACTTAGAATGAAAAGGAAAAGAATGGAAATCTCATCCAGAATGGTGTTAACAGTTCTGCTCTGTGATGTTTTTCTGGCTCCCATCCCCTCTTCTGTTCCCTTAATCACTGGAGTTCAAGGGCATGGAAGCAGCAGAAGTAGCGTTGTGCTTTATACTTCCCAGGACACTCTCATTCACTGTTTCATCTTTCTTCCTTCACACACAGAGATGATCCATCCTATACCCGGTGAGACCAGAGAGGCAAAGGGACTTGCCCAAGATTGCACAGCAAGAGTCAACAAAGGCTTTCACTCCCAGGCCAGTGCCCTTTTACCATGTACCAAAAAAATAAGGCTGCAGGACAGTGGCTTTAGAGGGAGGTTGATGTCCCTGTGCCCTTTCCCAGAGCACAGGTGATGTTCCTGTGCAGGGTCCTGAGGACTCTGAACATTGGATGAGCTCTCACCAGGTTCTGGTGAACTTGGAGGTCCTCTGCCCTCTGGAAGGTAGAGAAGGAGGAGTGGAGGGGCAGAGGCTGCAGGGCTTCAGCTCCTGAATGCTCCCAGGTCTACAAGTTTCTCATCTGGCACCAGCATCCCGTGCACAATCCTTCACCCTCTCACTACCATTTCTCCCTCTCACAAGTTCCCCAACCCTGGGTCTCCATTCTCTCACAGACAGGTGACAGAGCCCATGGGGGACTCACACCCAACTGTTATGGGTTGAATTGTGTCCTCAAATTCATATGTGGAATTCCTAACAAACTCCCAGAACTGCAGAATGAGACCTTATTTGGAGATAGAGTCTCACAGAGGTAATCAAGTTAAAATGAGGTCATTAGACTGAGCCCTGATCCAATATGACTGGTGTCCTTATAAAAAGGGAAAATTTGGTGACTCACACCCATAGGGAGAGAATGCCATGAGGAGAATGGAGTTACATCACCAAAGGCTAAAGAACTACCAGAAGCCAGGAGAGAGGACTGAAACAGATCTGTCACAACCCTCAGAGGAACCAACCTGCCAAAACCTTGATCTCAGACTTCTGGCCTCCAGAGCTGTGAAACAATGAACTCCTGCTGTTTGTGCCACCCAGGCTGTGGTGCTTTGAAAAAGCAGCCCTGGGGATTAATAATTGCCTCACCCAGCCAGCTGCCTCTCCCTTCTCCCTTCCCAGATCTGCATACTGTGGTCAGGTCAGGCACCTCACTCCCCACCACGCTCAGACCCAGCTCCATGTCTTTGCTGATGGGGTTCCCTCTCCCACCAACCCCAAAGATGCCCTTCCATTCAGCTCAAACTCCATGAAGCCCCCTGAGGGATCATAGGTCACGGCATTCTCTCCTGCCTTGCCTGTCTTGTCTTTCTCACATTGCTCTTCAGGCTGTTCTCTGATGACTCCGTGTACCTAGACTTGCCTTCCCCAAAAGACTGTAGGTTCCATGAGGGCAGGAACTATTTCTGACACTTCTATCTGGCAGCACAGCACTGTGGGTGGGCCACAGTAGTCCTTTAAAAACTACTGGGTTGAAAAACCCCATCACTCTTTCCTGTGTAGCTGATTTCTCATTAACACTTGGTAAGTGGGTTTGGCTAAAAAGACAGCCACTCCTCTTTATCCTGCCCTACTTTATAAAGATGCCTGTCAAAGCAGCTACAACACTCTGTTACACATGTTTTTGTACCACACCACCTCCTTTCACCAGGCTGCAAGCTCCTCCAGGCAGCAACCACCTCTCATTTGCATGTATGACCCTGGTATTTGCATAATAGTAAGCAACACGTATAAGTTGAATGGATAAACTGTGAGCAGACTATTTACCATGGGTCCAAAGACCCTGTAAGGGTTTCAAAGGATCCATAAACCCCTGAAATTGCGAGCAAAGGGCCACGTGTATGTTTATACATGTAGTGTGCATTTCCCCAGGGAGAGGGTCCATGGATCTCTGAGAAATTAAAATAAGAGCCAAGACTAAAAGCATGTTCAGATCCGCCCGGCCGGGCGTGGCTCAGCGGTTGAGCGTCGACCTGGGATCCAGGCGATCAGGGTTCGATTCCCGGTCAGGGCACATGCCCGGGTTGCGGGCTCGATCAATGACTCTCTCATCATTGATGTTTCTATCTGTCTCTCCCTCTCCTTTCCTCTCTCTGAAATCAATAAAGATGTACTTTAAAAAAAAAAAAAAAAAAATGTTCAGATCCAAAGCCAAGGAGGAGGGAGCTGACATATATTAAGCTCCTATCCTGTGCCTGGTGATTTAGGTATTACTATCCCCCTTTCCTATGAGTGGAAACTGAGGTTCAGAGAGGTGATATCTTGCCTATTCCAAGTGGTTCAGAGTACACTCTGGAGCTACACAGCCTGGGTTCAAATTCTAGCTCTACCACTTTCTAGCTGAGTTACAGAGTGATTAAGTATACGGATCAAAATCACACAGCTAGAAAGCGGTGATCTTGGTCAGTTACTTAATTGCTCCGTGACTCTGTAAATTGGAAAAAAGAAGGGTCCCTACCTCATAGGACGGTTGTGAGGAGCTGACCTGTTGATGGATATAAAGTGATCAGAATGGTGCCTGGCATGGAGCACGGACTCTGCAGACCATGATGAGGGTACAGAGGAAGAAGCTGGGATGGCAGAGCTGAGATTCAGCCCAGGCCTGTGTGACTCTTGCCACCCCTCTCTACCATCATTCCCAGCATCCAGCAGCCACAACGCCCCACCTCACAGCCAAAACTCTCCTGTTCCCTCCTAGGAAAAGCCTTCAGTCCTAAGAGTGGCTTTTCGAGCTTGGCTTCCTGGGTGGCCAGGCCCGTGGCCACCAGCTCAGCAGGCAGTGCCTGGTGGTTCCATAAGGAGGAGGTAGCAGGTTATGAGCTGCCTTCCCAGTCAGCAAGACCGAGCCTGTGCAATCAGGACACTTAGCGCTTCTGCCCTGCTCTTCATTTTCCAAGGGCTTAACCAACATCCACTGACGGAAATTAGAAAGAGAAGGTGCTCATCCATTCCTGGAGCTGATGTCCAAACTCTTTATAATTTCCCAGAGTCCACCACTGTGCCCTGAGCTCAGAAGGGCGTCTCACATCCACCCTGCTTGGGCTTTATGACTTACATGTCCCACTGGCCGCAAACAGAGCAGTAGCAGTAAAGCCTTGGTCCTGACCTTGCTTCTACACCTGGGTCTCCATAGTAACCCCATCCCAGGTGAAGCCCTGACCAAGGCCTTTGCCCATCCCAGTCCTCTGCACTGCTCTTTGAGTTCAGGTTGGGTATCTTTGTATTTTTCCTGCAAAGCCATCAGTATTGACCCCATTTGCTGGAGCATTTTTCATTCATTCCTGTAACGCAATTAGAATCGAGTTTCTCCAGCATTAGGGGAGATGTAACAACAGTAGGGGAAAATTGTCATTTCATTCCCAACATCAACACACCCACTCTGTCCAAATTCTCTCTATGGTGCTAGCTCGCTCTACCCACCCAGATGGCAAGGAGAATGCTAACAAGGAAAATCACTCTTCAAATCTGCCTCCAAATGCAGAGGCAGAAGCTGTGGGGGCGGTCTCCTCTCGTAATTAAACGGGGGGCTCCCAGCTTCCCTGGCAGTGTCCTGCAGTTGAGGGATTCTTCTAAAGCCCACTGGAAACCCCCCGACTGGTCCCATCCCAATGGTCAGAGGTGACTGTGGAAAGAGTCCATTAGACTCTAACAGGGCCCTAAACCATTCTCCCAGAGAGGTTCAGTGTCTTGCCCAAAGCCACATGCCTGGGAAGCTGAGACCAAAACCCTGACCTGCAGGCTCTTCCCCTTGGGTGTCTCCCATTGTACCACACTGCCCCCCACCCAAAGGACCTGCATCTGCCAGCAGCTCAGCCCTTGTCTCTCTGGGCTTCAATTTTCTGAGCCACTGCAGACAAAATGTGAAAGAGGGAACAAGTGTCTTTCATGAACCCACTTTTTCTCCGGTGTGCTCCAAGCCTTTTTTGGAAACTTTCCCACTTTCTGGAACAGGTCCCATGTGATGTCTTACTCTTGCCATCCTCCTTCTAGGTTCCACGATCTTGCCATCCAATAATCCAGCCTGCCTTCCTTCCTCCCATCCATCCATCCATCCATCCATCCATCCATCCATCCATCCATCCACTCTCCATTCATTTATCCATTCAGCTCCCCTCCATCCCACAATGGCTTCTTGAGCACCTACTATGGCCTCAGCTCTGTGCCAAGCACTCAGCACTTCTTCTCCTCCCCAGAGCACCAGCTCCAGAAGCGTCCACTTGTCTCTTGACCCCTTCAGAGCCCAGACCTGACTTGCTTCCATCAACCCTCTTAGGAGGTTGATCTGATAGACACATCTGTGCTAACGGATTCGCATTAGACCTACCATTCCCTCCAAGCTGGCAGCAGGCAGGGACTTCTGGAGTCCTTGGGTCAGCTGAGACCTGTGGCCCAGGGCCTGGGTGACAGCTCTACCTCTCTTCCCCTTGGTTCCCTTTGCCTTCCCTTCCTTCCCTTCCCTTCCCCCATCTCCTGTGAGGCCAGAACACAGAAAGCCCCTACATACGTATGCAGAAGTCTCCGTTCTCATAGTAGCCAGGGCAGCACTGGGACCTCCGCCGGTACATGGTGCGGAGGCCGCGCCGATACGCCGTCTTATAGCTGATCCTAAGGCACAAGGGAGAAAGCCACTTGAATGTATTGAAAATCAATCACTCCTGTTAGAATGATATTTGTGTTAAGCTATATCGAGGATGCCCTTCAATAATTACTTTAAAAAGCACATGGCAGCTTCGAATATGAAGAAACACAATAAAGAACAATCGATGGTGGGACCTGGGCCACTGTGATTCAGAATGAAACGGCATTTGTTACACCTGCTGACTTTCTCCAATCTCTTCAGAGTGATACTTAGAAGGGTTGCAGAAGATCTGCCTAGGGTGACACTGTGGAGAGTAACTGAGGACTTCTCCTTAAAACTTCAAGACCCTGGGCTGCAGGGGCCCAGGGAGTGACTTGGATGGGAGAGGTTCTATGCTTACCACCAACACCCCAACAAGCAGACTGCTTACACCCCCTGGAAACTGATCCACCCACTTGGAGCATAGTCATCAAAAGGACCCTCTGAGTCTGACTCAGTCCCAGAGGCAGGTTAATCTCCCCCACACCACCTCCCGGGGAGGAGCTTCACCTGCCATCCCTGGGAAGGCTCAGAACCAAACCCAGTTCTGCAGAGGAAGAAGCTAAGGCCCAGAGAGCAGAGGAAGTTCTGGGCTGGGAGCCAGAGACCTGGGTTCCAGTTCTTACGCTGACATGGGCGTTAAGACTCCACCCTGTGCCAGAGAGATTTATAGGCAAAATCTCATTCCATTCCCTCCTTGAGGCAGGTAACTTCATCATGCCCCTTTATTTCTTTTTCAGAGTTTTTATTCTTACTTAATTTTATATACTGCCTCCCACTTTGTTTTATGGATGAGAAAACTGGGATTCAGAGAAGTTGACGACTTGCTCGAGGTCACACAGCTAAACAGTTTGAATCCTGGCTGAATCATAGCCAGGATTCAAACCCAAGTCAGTCTAATTTCAAAGCTACTAGCTTAACCTACTGCCCTGTGCCAGTTCCCACAGGGTGGAGTGCTGGGTTTAGGGGATGGCCATAATGAAAGGGTAAGAAAAGGGAAACGGATGGTGTGAGGACTGAGTCCTCAGGAGGGGGTCGAAATGAGATACTGAAAGTCAAAGCCCCTTCCTCAGACATAGGGTCATAATAGAGGAGATCTGAAGTGGCCATTAAGGGCCAGAAAGAGAAAGTAACTTCCCAAGGTCATGTTGTGTAACTGGGACTCAACTCCAAGTCCTTGGGCCTTGAAGCAAGAGCTCTCACTTCCCCACCAGCACCCCAGGGAGCCTGCCCTGTGGACCCCTGCTCAGGGGGCAGAGAGCAGGACTGGTCACTGGAGATGCCGACAGCCTGCTTCCCACAGAGGATCAGGCCAACTTGGGAAGGAGTCCTACCACATGGGCTCTCAGTCCTTAAAGCCCTCACTTTATGACAAATGACAGTGTGGAACTCTGGGGAAATCTGTGATATTTGGGAATGTCGTAAACTAAGGTCATTCTACTTTGTCAAAAGCCCATAATGGAAGGCAAGCCAATCTCAAAGTGAAGCTACTTTCCCAGCACAGGGAGGCAGCTCCTAGCAATTTCGGGGGTGGTGCAAGCCTCTCAGATAAAGAGCAACTTGGGATTGACTCAGAGGTCACCCAGTCCATTCCTCCCTCCAAGCAGGGTTCTCCTCAAGCCCCCCAATGGAGAGGTGGTCTTGACATCACTAAAGCCTCTCAGGAGAGAGAAAGCAGGGATGGCTCTCCCATCCTTGCTTGTTCCCAGTGCTGGGGTGAGAAGCCAGAGAAGGAAGGAGCTGGGGGCCAGGCTGCTGTCAGGAGAATGATGCTGCGTTCACTCAAACAAGGCATCGCACACAGAGGCAGACTGATGGGGAGCTGTCAGTGTGCACACTCCGGGTCATCAGGAAGGCTGCAAGGCGACTCAATAATTTAGCAAAATAATTCATGTTCTAGGAATGTAGCCTATTTTAATAAGCAGCCACTCGCTCACCCTTCCCCAGTGGTGATGGACGGCAGCCCAGCCTCCAAGTACCCAACGAAGCCACACCTCAGAGCAAATTTGGCTGGCACAGAGCCTGACAGGCTCATGGAGGGAGCAGGGCTTCTATTTCGGCCTCTGCCTTTCACCAGATCCACAGGCAGCTAACTTGGCACAACTGGGGAAGTTGGAAGGGGGCGTTTGGTCTCATCTCATTTCATAGCCAAGGGCTAGAAGAAGGGGAGGCAGTAATGGCTCCTGTTGGACCAACCCTCCTACAAACAGTTATATAATCTGGTGAAAATATAAAAAACAGCTACTTGAAGGCACTAAAGAGAGAACAAAGGTGGATACTACAGGGGAGTAGACACTTGGAAGAAGGGAATGACATGGCAAGGTTAGTCCAAGGGCAGACCCAGTCAACAATAAATGCTCCAGGTGGCTGAAATTCAGATAGAAGACACACAGCCTTACTGGTTTGAAGACCCACAGGACAAGTAAAGGGTGGGCCCAGCAACTAGGAAGTGAAAAGGGGAACCCCAGAAGGAAGGGAACCACAAAGAGGAACCCAAATTCTTTTTTATCCTCACCTGAAGATATTTTTTCCACTGCTTTTCAGAGACAGTGGAAGGGGGAGAGAGAGAGGAAAAAACATCGATGTGAGAAAGACACATGTCCCCGACCGGGCCGGGAGAGAGCCTGGGACCCTTCAGTCTGAGGGCTGACACTCTAACCACGGAGCCAAACTGGCTAGGGCAGAGGCCTATATTCTCGGTAAAAATCTCTGCCCAAACTTCTAGCCCCTGAATTATGTGTGTGGAGGGCAGGTTCCAAGCAGTCCAGGTAAGGCTAAAAATATTGAACTTTCAGTTTGGAGACTGAGTTTAGCCAAGTTAACTGGTTGTTAAAACACGCAAGCAAGCAAGCAACAACAAATTGATACTTTCTGGAGGAACATAACAGAATTCAGTCTTTACTGTCTCTGCTGTTCATAATGCAATGCTTAGTACACAATTCACAATTTACTAGACATATAAAGGAACTAGAAAATATTACCTACATAAGAAAAAAGGCAATCGATGAAGACCAACCCTGACATGACCCAGATGTTGGATTAGCAGACAAGAATTTTAAAGTGGTTATTATATCTATGTTCAGTGTCTCACAAGAAGTTACTAGCAAAACCCCAAATACCAGAACTTTGGCTTTTCAGCATAGAGTGAGTTTCCCCATCCGCATGCTACTCACCATGATTCCTGCATAATTCCCAAAGAGGGACCAGGCCCACAAGGAAGAAGCAAAAGAAATCTGGAACTAACACAGATGCTCGGTAACTAGGAAGTGAGACTTCTAGGCAGCCTCTCACTCATTCCCTCACTTACTCTTCACCTACTGGTTTTTCACCCCTCAAGTAATAATGCCACCTTGCCTGGGTCTAATACCTCACTTTTCTCCATTCTCCCCTACACCTTTCAAAGTATTTTCATATCCCTGACCTCAATGGACCCCCTGGGTAGGTAAGGCAAGGATCGTTCTGTGTTTGATGAGTACACAGGAATCCCAAAATAAAATGACTTGCCCAGGGTCATCCAACAAAACATGTTCTCTCTTCCTTCCTCTCCTCTCTGCCCCAGTAACATGGGAGCATGTCATGATCTGCAGGAGGACTGAGACAAGGGAGCAGGATTCCCATGTGCAGTCGTTCAGATGCTAAGAGGCTGTTGGCTTCCAGCCTGCACTCTGCTCTCCCAGCCAGATGCCCTGGCATGGGGCTACATCTTCTGCTCTGAGCAGGGGGGATGTCCTAGGTTGGATTTTGCCCCAGTAGCAGAACTGAGACAAGGATTTAAGGACAAGTCGTTTATTTAGGAGGTGATCCTAGGAAGCACTAGGAGGGGAATGGGAAAGTGAGACAGGGAAATAAAGGCAGCCAACGTAGGGTATGCTATTGAGCAGGTTACTGCTATGGGTGACTGAGGACCTCTGGAACACACTCAGACTTGTCCCCTCTATTCTCAGGGGAAGGAAGGTGGAGTATTTACCTACCAACTCCCAACCTATAACTGGTTGAGGAATGCCCTCAACGGCATTAATTCCCTGGCACTTCTGGCCTGCCCTGCCCATGAGCTCCTCTGCCCAGAAAGTAACTCTCATCAGAGCATCTCAGGGGTTCACTGTGAAGAGTGAGCACCAAGGGGATATAGGCGGTGCACTGACCACACCTGCTAGAAGGGCCTTTTACTAACTGGCAGAAAATCAAATCCTGAGGGCCCGGCACCCTTTCCCTGCCCGGTCCTCTGAGAGAGGTACTCACCGGTGCCTGGTGCACTTGAACCAGTTGAGGATGTCTGTGCACCGTGTGTAGTAGATCTGGTCGAAGGGGTGAGCGTAGGATTCTTGGACAGTCACGGCATAGCTGAGAACCAGACAGGACATGGAAGCTACAGTCAGCACTTGGGTCCTGAGCTGTTATTCAGGATGGGGTCTCCCTGCCCATGGAAGCCAGGCCTCAGCCAAGTATCCAGGCGTTCCAACGCCCCCTCTTCCCACCACTCCACTATCCTTCTCCTGCCCAGGATGCACTTCGCCTACCTGGTCTCTGGTTGGATCCAGGACACATGCCTTACTGCCCTTTGGCCCAGCTCATTTCCTGAAATTCTAGTTCATTTGTTCATTTAACAAAGAATAAAGGAGGGTTTAGGTTTATTTTGTGTGGTTTTGTTCAGAGCCAACAAGCTTAGATATTTGTTTAGATCTTTATGGTTTTCAAAGACCTGCATGGAAGTTAATCTTTGTAGTTAACTCTTTGAAGTTAAACTCTGTGAAGTAAGTGGTCCCATTTTATAGATGAAGAAACTAAGGTTCAGAAAGAGGCGACCTGCCCAGGTCACACAGCCGGTAGCAAGAACTGCCAATATGTATTAAGTGTCCCGCATTAAGTGTTTTAAGCCCTTTTAATTCTCACACAATCAAAGGTAGGTGGCATTGCTATATCCTATTTCACAGATGACAAAACTGAGCATCAGAGAGGATCAGTGACTTCCCCAAAGTCACCAGTTACCTTCTGCCTTATTATGCCTCTTGTATAACTGGGTGTACACTGAGGACATGTCATAGGACTGCTGATCAAAGTGGTATCTCATCTTCCCGCCTGTTAGCTGTAAGCCTGGCCCAATGGGTGGAAGCCACAGGGAAGCAGGTCTACACTTCACAAACATAAGCCTTCCCACCTGCCCACCCCTGGCAGGAGTTGTATGAAAAGGCAGCCAAGCTAGGGCATAAAGCAAAGACTCACACTTCCTGTGCAGGCTGGGAGAGGAGGTTGGCTGAGATTTCAGGAATTAATTCCTATGTATGTTGGTACTATTCAGTGTTTTCCTCCCAGAAGGCTCATTGACCTGGGCCAGATGGCTAGGTCCAGGCTATAAAAGCCCGTCTGCTTTGCCTGAGGAAAATGTTAGTTTACTTGCAAGAGGGCTGGGCAGGCCAGCTCCCTGACTGAGTCCACAGCAGGCTCTCTGAAGCCAGAAGTGTGAAAGGTCTAGAACTCAGAAAGAGGCCAGGAGCAGTCAGCCATGCCCAGGAGGAAGTCGAGGTAGGGGGATGTTCTGTTTCTCTGAAGCACTGAGGATGCAGGAGGGCCCTTGGTGAGCCTCTGCCCAGCAAGATGTGCCTCAGAGGCACACATTTTTGTAGGCATGGCCCAAAGCCCCAGGCTAGGAGAAATTGAGACAGCTCCACACGCACCCCTAGCTTCCCAAATTCCATGACCTTGTACTCTGACACTTAGAGGCAGGAGAATGAATGGATGAGAGTGCCTGGGCTCTTGGTCAAGGATGAACCCTGTCACTTGTTAGCACCATGTCCTTAGACATATAAGACTCATATAAGCCTCTGTTTCCTTACCTGTAAATTTGTGCTAAATATTACCAGGGACTAGTTATTGTGAGGATTAAGGAGGACAATAATAGTATCTATATCTATATCTATATCTATATCTATATCTATATCTATATCTATATCTATATCTATATCTATCTATCTATATCTAATAATAGTATGTATATCTCAGGGTGGTGGGAATACACATAAAATGATTAACGGGTGCACCGTAAGTGTCTGACAGATGCTGGCCATCATTATTATAAGACTGGCAATAGTTCACTTCCTGTGCTAGGCACTGAGCAATATTTCCCCCTGGGTCACAATAGGGGAAGCAGAGCAAGACCCACACACAGAATGGGCTGCCTGCCTTTGTTAAGCACTTGAGAGTTCAGGCACCCCCCAGCATTGATGGGGACAGTGGGTGCTTAGAGAAAAGGCATCAGCCCAACAGAGGAGATGGAGAGGATGTCATGGGGGACAGAGCTGGCTCTCCAGGAGTTCTCTGAGCCAAGTGAGTCTGGCAAGGAGACCTTGAACCAACTCCAAGTCTCTGGGGTGAAGTGTGTGCCCCTGGTTTCATGGCTGGATGGTTTAACATGCTCATTTGCCAACATGCTAATGAGGGGCCAGATTAATCTTGTAAAGCTGGGCTTTATAAGCCAGGGGAGGTCTTTCCACTGGGTTTTTATGGTGGAGGGGTGTAATTAATGATGAGCCTGCCAGAAGCACTAATCCAACTGGGAAATTCTCCCTAAGCAGTCTCCAGGGACCCGGATATGTTTCTGGAATGACACAGCCTAGATCCATCCATGTGTAACTGGCAACAGAGTTCAGTTGGAAAAGCCAAGAAAAAGAAAGTGTTTGGTATCACGGCACATCACTGCAAGGCCTCCTCCCAGGGCTTAAAGAAGGCTAGGGGGTCCCCAGACCTCACTTTAGCTGTTAGGGTCACTCTTTGTTCTCCCATCAAAGCTATATATTCAGCTGATAGCCTTGTCAACCTGAAATACCAGCTGTGTACAGGCTGGGTTCAGAATATTTTCACATTCCAAATTTATTCATGTTGGCTAGTTTAGAAACTTAGGGAGTTTGGTTTATGTTTTAACTGATCTACTAGTGCAAATGGGGCCCAGAGAAGAGGGAAGTCAGGGTGGGCTTCCTAGAGGACAGGAACCTGGTTGGAGACAGTAGGAAAGGCAGAGGTGAACAGATAAGAAGGTGAGCAGATGCTGGGGGCTGGGATACAGCACAGACATGTGCAGGAAGCAACTGTGTCTCAACTGGGACAGAGTCCAAAAACCAGAGGCTAATATGGAATTCCACCTGATCTCCCTTTCACCTACTGGGAAATAAAGTTTTAAATTCACCACAACCAGAAGGCCAAGGGGCCTGAATCACCTCATAATCATATGAAAAGCTTATGAAAAATATGTATTCCTAGGCTCTACCCTAGACCTATGGAATTGAAGAGTTTTGGGCTAGGACCCAGGAGACTCTGTGTTTCATTCCCATTCCCAGTGAGGCTGGTATGCATTAATTTAAAATCTGTGGCAACCACTTCCTGCAAAGCCAGAGTTGTCGGCAAGAAAAGGCATAATTAAGCTTTATGGTCCTCAAAGCACTTCTGTGAAACTGGTTCCCTGACCCTCCAACAAGCCTGGGAGGCAAGGGTCATTATCCCCCCACCTTACAGAGGTGGAAGTCAGCTCAGAGTGGTTCAGAGACATCCCCAAAGTCATAGAACTAACAGAAAACTCCAGACTGGAATGAACCAAGGTCTGCTCGTCATAGATCTTGCGTTCCTTCCACTTCACAGAAAAGGGGACCACTACCTTTTGCTCCAGCCTTGACTCTGTAGGGACTCCCTATAGAGTGCCAGTCACTAAAAATCATGCTGGTGCAGGCACTGTCCCTCTGCATCCCCAGCCAGTCCCTCCCCGGGTGAGGTGCCTTTACCTGCCGTGGGACAGGGACATTCATCCTCACGGACATGCAGCATGGACCACCTCCTCACATGTCCTCCTCTGCCATCTGCTTCCCCCATCGGGCCCTCATCTTAATTTTATTCATTTGATTTATTAACATCTAAGTGGCAGAGTCGTCCTGGTCAGCATGGCCAATCAATTCCAAGGTTTAATTCGGTTTTTCCTGATTGGGTCTCTGGTCGCTGTCTTTCTGCTCACCAAAATCAATACTTTAACCTTGTGCTTCAAAGTCAGGCCGTCTGCAGGGCCCTGGCCTGTTCCCCCAGGACTGAGTGCTGCAGCCGGCTCTCTGCCTCTGCCCTCAACTGCCCTTCCCCTGGCAGCCCAACGACCCCCACTAGATTGGAAGCAGCAGGGCTCCCCTCTCCCATCTCCTCAGGGCAGGCTGCTGGCCGCCCATGTGTCCAAGCTGCCGCACTGTTGCCAGACCTGGGAGACCAGGGAAGACATCATAGCATCAGACAACAACATATCTGGACCCGAACAACCCACTGTGCCCCACCTGGCCATGGATGGGCACTGAGCCCCTCTGGGCCTCTACTTCCTTGTCTGTAAAATGGCTGGGAAGTGGAAATGCAGGGAGGAACATGAGTACATTGTCAGCTATGAGACTGCATCACTTAAATTGCCTGTCACTCAACCCCTTGCATCCTGACCTCCCACCACTGAGTCTCAGACAGAACCTATCGTGCTTTGTCCTGTTTCTCAGCCTCCGTGCTCTGTCTCCAGCTGGACTGCAGGCCCTTGGTGGACAGCTTCTGTCCTTCCTGCCTCTGCTTTTGTCCCAACAGTGCGAAGCCCAGGTGAGGCCCCCAGGGAGCACCTGGCCACCTGAGACCCATGTCTTACCTCTCCCAGTGGCTGCATACGTTGGGGTCCTCAGGGTTCAAAGAGAGGACGGTTTGCAGGAGGGAGAAGACAATGAGCCCTGCCACTGAGAGTGCCATCCCGGGCCCTGTGCAAGAGAACAAAGGAGGCAGCGTCATTAATCAGCCCATTTTCCCAGGCATCTGTTTGGCGCTGAGACTTCTCACATGAAGCGGCTAAGCAGACTAGCTAAGCAGACGAGTTTCCTGTCATTGTCAGGTAATGAGCATTCGATATTTTCACACTTGCAGTCTTTGACTAACGTGGTAACACTTCACTGGTTCTGAGTAACCGAGGAGTAGGAAGTCTGACTCAGGAAAACGTCAAAATTCCAAGCCAGGGCATCTGAAAGCGTTTTGGCTCACGGAGACTGCTTTGAGAATCTAATGAAAGTTAGAGACTTCCTCCCCAGAAAAATGCCCATGCACACAACATTCAGCTATGATTTCAGGGCCCATGAGTGCATCCTTGGACCAAGAGCCCTGATTTAACTACTTTAAATGCAACGCTATCCCTCTGCTCCCTTCTCCCTCATCTTTGACGTTCTTTGCCCATCACTTTCTCTTCCTACTCCCCCTCCTGCCACAAAGAAAAAGAAGAAAGGTGTCTGGTGTGGCCCTGGGGGAGCTAAACTAAGAAAACCCTTCCAGGCAGCTCTGGTCAAGCAGGCCACCCAGAGAGCTGCACCTGGCTTCTCTTCTCTTCCTCCTACCGCTTCCCTTGCTCCTACCCGATATAAAGTCCCTGCCAGCCACAGTGACGTAATTTACTGCATGTGGCTCTCACCATGGGATGAAAGGCTTGGGCAGCTTGGTAAGGGGCTTCCAGGAAGCAGCTTGTTGAGTTTGATCCAGCCCCTGAAGGGACAGCCTGTGACAGGTGTTAAGTGTGCCTACAAAGAATGCCAACACCCCTGTCCCCTAAACTGAGGCTTCCCCAACAAAGGACTCCTCAGAGGGGCAGAGAACCAATCAGGTGGGAGTGGCTGAAATGACCCCCGAGGCTCCTCCTTGTCCTAGCACTCCAGGGCTCTGTGGCCCTAAAGCCTTAGAGGACTCTCCAGGGATTCCCACCAAGTGGGGGTGCAGGGGGCCCAGAGCCACCTCCAGGGACCTGGAATTCCTATGTGCTCATACATCGGCTATAGACTGAATAGACACTATGATTCAGAACGATGGCACCATTTTCCATGTGTACACAGATGTTACTGTGGTTTGATTAAAAGCTTTACTGAATTCAGAGTAGCTTTTCTTCTCAATTGGCAACACTAAAAAATGCAACTTCTATTAATTGGGGGCGGGGATGGATAGAGAATATTTTGACACTGGAAAGGGGTCCCCAGCTTGAAATGAGGTTGAGGGTTTCTAGCTCATTGGCCCCAAGTTTACAGATGAGGAAACAGTCACCCTTCCTGGGGACAAAGAAGAGCGGCATGGGCCTTGTACATGTCCCTATTGTACCCAGAGGGAAGCTAAATGGCCCTCTCCTCCCCATCCCCAATAATGTCCTTGTTAAACTCTTTCTTACCAGCCCTTTCAAAGATAAACAAATGTCATCAACTCTGTAAAGCCGTAGGGGTCCAAATTAATGATTAATGAGGTTTTTCTATTTGAGATCTAGAAATAATCTGGCTAAATGTATTCTGAAAATCAGTTAGGAAAGAGAAGTGATCCTGGCATTTCTGCTCAATTTGCAGGGCCCAGGAGTGGGCAAGCCACAAGCATACCTATCTCCCCACACGCTCGCGCCCCACTCCTAGTCCTCCAAGACCTAGTCCCACCTCTGCAGAGCACCCTTCACACACTGAAGTCTGCATAGCTCTCAGGCTGGGCTCTGGGTCACTTGAACCCATTCTCATCAAAGAGGAGGCGATACCTCTAGAAGAGAAAGAGCCTGCCCAAGATGCGGCACTGAGCTTTGGCAATGAGCATATTGTTCCAGGTGGGGTTTGTGCTGATCAGGCATCAAAGAAATAATAATAAAAAATAAACAAAGGGACACGGCACTCTGAAAGGCAAGGAGTCTGAATGTCACCTGCAAAGAACATCTCGTTTTGGTTCTCTTGTGGCCCCATCACATTATTTTGGGTGCTCCTGGAATCTCCAGCATCTCACAAAAGGAACCCCTAACTGCATCATCAAACTTATTAAGCTCAGAACATCAAAAGACGGGGCCACCTGGACGAGAGGAGATTGTTCCTCTGGCCCCTTTGATCATGGTGACAGGAAAGGGGTGGGAGACAAAGATAAATTGGATCATTGCTATAATTGGGAAGATCTTTTTTTTTTTCTTTTTTAAATATATCTTTATTGATCTCCGAGAGAGGAAAGGAGAGGGAGAGAGAGAGACAGAAACATCAATGATGAGAGAGTCATTGACCGAGCCCGCAACCCGGGCATGTGCCCTGACCGGGAATTGAACCCTGACCGCCTGGATCCTAGGTCGACGCTCAACCGCTGAGCCACGCGGCTGGGCGGGAAGATCTTTTTAAATCTTCATAAAACCTTCTTTCTTTCAGAGTCAGGTCTGGACAGGACAATTTCGTTGACTCCCACTGGCAGTGAGATGCCTGGATACTGGGGCACAGAGAGGTGACAGGTATCTGGACGTGCACACAGGAAGTGGAGATGGACAGGGGAACACAAGGACACAGACAGCTGAGTGGAATTTAGACTAACAGTCTAAATGTGTTAAGGCTTACAGGGCAGGGGTCTCCCCAGGATTCACACCCTAGCCTGGAACAGTCACATCCTCAGCATTTGCAAAATTCCCCATCTGAGGCCAAGTCCGCTTCTGTAGTAGTATGGCAAGGGGTGAGGATGTGGCGGGAGAAGGACACTGAGGCTGAGGGTAGGAGAGGTGACTCCTCCCATTCACCCCAACCCTCAGACTTTTTCTTTGAACCTGGCCCAATCTACAATCATATCACCAGCCCTCCTTCCTGGTCAGGCTGGTCTTCCTCCCTGCTGTTTCTCCACCCCCCACCCCCCCAACCTTGCTCACACTGCTCCCTGGGCTTCAATCCCTTTCTTTCTCCTTGGCATATCCAAATACCATGCACAGGAGGTCCAGCTCAGGCCCCAGGCCCCCTCCTCCTCCTGCAGGGCTTAGCATCTACTGGGTGCCAGGCACATCTCACTCCCGCAGCACAGCCTGGCTGGCAGTTACCACTCCCCATCTTGCACTGCCATCTCTCGCATGTTTACTTGGTCTTTCCAATGTGTCTGTAAGCATCTTGAAGGCGGGGTCAGGTCCTAAGCTGAACTAGTCAATTCCTTTCGGGAACCGATTTTAGAAAAAGTGCTTCTACTTGTCTCAGACATGTCACTGAGATAGAGTGAAGAGCAGACAAAAAGGAGCTGTGCCCACATGGAGGCGACTCATGGCCATTAACTTTAACAGGGCTTCCCTGGGTTCTCTCAGAGGACGGATCTCGGAGACATATGCTTATGTGATGACTGAGGGAAAAATCAATCCTGCCGCAGCCGTTATTAGGCTGACTCCATTCGGAGTGACAGAGGTTAACGTATCGAGCACCATCTGATTTAGGACATTAATAATTAAATAAGAAAATGCCCCTGGTTTCCCTCCAGAGGAAGAGAGCATGTAAATAGATCGGGGGTTCCCTTCCCTCTTGGCCATGCGCCCTGCATATTAAGCAGGAGAGGACAGGAGCAAAGTTCCAGGGGTGGAAGCATTTCTTTCCCACTGAGGAGTATGTGTGCTTTACCCCTGACGAACTGGGCGTGGGGGTTGAAGGGGAGAGAAGGTGGCCAGGAGGTGAGTCACACACACCTGCCCACGGGTGTCGTCAGTCTTCACACTTTCTATGGCCTGAACCAATCAACTGAGGACTCCTGGAATGCCACCTCCCAGCCAGGGCTGTGTGTGGACACAAAGAAACAACACGTGCCAGCTGCGGTCTATCTAACGCAGCTAGTGGTTCAGTCACACTGCAGGGCCTCTGGAAGACTTTGTGGAGTGGATGGGACTTAAGATGGACAGAACATGGAAAGGTAGAGGGCAAAGAAAAGGCATTTCTGGGGCAGGCACAGCACATGCAAGCGCATGGAGGCAGGAGAGTGCAGGCGGTGTCGGAGGGACTGGGCGGCAGAGGGCTGGCACTGCGGAGCAGCAGCGAGAAACATGGGAAACTGTGGGAGGCGTTTCCAAAAGTGGGTTCTACGGAACACTAGGCCCATTGGATGTTACTAGAAACCCCCCAAAGGTTTCCATGAGTAAGTTCAGGAAATGCTGCCCACTCTGTCCTCATCTTAAATATCCACAGTGTATCTTGGCATATCTTAGGCTCTGAGCAGACTTGAAGCAGAGAGACCTGTTTTACTTTGTTTGACCCACTTTCCCACAGAACCCTTTCTAGTGACCACTATAGGAGCAGAGGTCCTCCATCAAGGTCAAGTCTGAAGGAAGGCTGGTCCTGTCAATCTGCATCCTTAGAGTTTGTAGTCACCTGTTCATTCTAACATGTGAGGGCCTTCTGTGCCTGGCAGGTGGTGTTAAAGGGAATCTGCCAACATGTAGTTAAGAGACACTGGCATCATAGCAAAGAATCCCTCCTCCTGCCTGGGCCTTGGCTCTGGCCTGGGTGGCTCTGCAGGCTGAGCAGATCTTGGAGATGGTGGCATCCTCTGGAGGGCCTTGCCTTCTGCTGGGGCCCCACCAACACCAGCACCTGTAGAGTCCAGCCTGTCTCTCTGAAGGCAGCACACACCTGGCCAGACACCAGCTGTTCACATTAGCCAAGATGCAGAAAACTAGGCAGCGGGCAGACAGACAAACAGATGGCCCCTGCCCTGGAATCCATTGTTATGATCTCACAGTCCATCTGTGCAAAAATCCTCCCCCACCTGCTTCACTTCTGCCACCTGCCTAGTCCTCCCAACTGTGCGAAATCTTGGACACTGGAGCCTGGTCCACATACCTGGAACCTGCTCTCTGTTCATCCCAGACTCCTCTGGGGGGGTCCTTCCTTCTCAACAAATTTGTATTACTGGCAGTGGTTAGCACTATTTTATAGGCCTTGGGAGGTTTCCACTCACACAAAACTGGGGGATCAATTGGTAAGGA